AACCAGACTCCTTCAGGGTTTGGGGACCCTTCAGAGGTGATTCGCTTCTTCCTTCTCTTCCCTAAGAATCAAGACGATTTCGGGAAGATCTAGCTTTTTGGGAAGCGCATTTCAAAAGGAGCGTAGTTCCAGGGAAGTTGGGCCTGTATTTACTGGCCAGCAATGTACGCCACCACTTCAAGGGCACCTTACTATTCCGCCTTTGAGCAACGAACCCAAACTCCTTCGTCTGCGAACGCCGCTGGGCGAGCCTGATGGCATCTGATTGGCTTGGGTGTTTCCAAACGGTCCCCAATATTCCAATACACTCCTTGCCAAGGACCTTTAGTATACAAACCCTTTGTGCTCCCTTCCTCCACCTCAGGACCCCTGCATGCGGGGTCATATACTGTAAAGGTTATATAGGGGTTATATAGGGATAATGGAAAGTAAAATGGAAACTGTAGATATTATAGGGATTATATACGGTTTATATAGGAATTATAGGCTGTATCTGGGCGCTGTATCTGGGCACGCACAACTGCAAGCTGCGCGTGTTGACTGGACCCCTCTCTCTGCGGCCAAGGGCACATGTGCAGGGCCATTCCTGTCTTCACCTGGGATCATGATTTTCTGAAAGTCCAGGTTGTGACAATACAGTATGCTGGACTACAGCTAGGACCCTGTAGCTGAAGCGAATACTCCCAGAAGGTACTGCCCAGACTTTGACAAAGCCACCCTCTAGCCCCCAGATGCTGCCCCACATGGCAACTCGCTTGCTTGCGCTCTGGTGATAGTAATCTTTCCACGCCACGTTTCGCAGGGATGTGCCCCCGTTTCCCATGTCCGAGATCATCCACATCTTCCTTGCGTCTCGCTCCAGGAAGGGTTCGTTGAGTCGCATGACTGCACTGCAGAAAGCGGATTTGGAGGCAAGTTGGACTTGAGTAGACCCATCGACATCTGGAACGCACCCACGTATTACACAAGGCATTCAGTGTCTAGATGCGTTTAGCCGCTGGGTTCTCGCATCAATTGCGTAGAGGGTAAGACGACTGCAAAGCAGTGTGCGTGATGCAGCTGAGCTTCGCTTCGTCGTCGACTGCCTTTGGATTCTTTTGCTCTTTGTCATCCTTGCAATTCAAATAGGTGCGCCCAGGTCATTATATCATCCCGCCATTTGTGGAGCATGTATCTAGGGATCAGGGAACCCTGCAATTCCTGTTCCTGTGCACCACCTATGTCCGATGGGATTCCAGGAGTACCCCTGCATGTTTTGGGTTCGGGCCTACTCGTTTTGTTGCGCTGCATCAGCATGCGTGTGGTCTTGCTCATGACCCTGTCAACTCGATATCAAAAACCAAAACCCGGACAAAAGAATGCCACCGAAGACCAACGTTTGAGCTAATCTCGGAATCATTGCACGGGCGGTGGTCGTAATGATTAGTTTTTCGACAGATATATATATATACATGTGAATTGAAGGGGATACGATCCCTGACTATTTATGCATCTATGCCGCGAGTTTCTTAATTTGGGGCTGCTTTCCAAAACTCTGGGTCCTGCTTGGTGGAGTCTCTATAATCGGGAATGCATGGTGCATTTCACCGTATGTAGGGGACCATAACTTTGAGAAATGTCCGCACCTTGCGTTCCGTGTTGAGGCTCTAACCTGATTTTGCCTAAGGACTATGTGACTACGGCAGCTAGCTCCACCACTCTGCAACTGAGGCATCTACCAGAGGCACCAACTTTACACAGTCTGGGCTGTTCGAATACACGAAGTAGCTGCCTGCCTTTGCCGTCCTTGGCTACACCAGGGATACGGAAGACTATAGCTGTGTGAAAGCTACTTCGGCTGTTCACGCTTAGCATAACTGTTTGCTGGTCAACTTGCTTGGACAGAAAAGGCAACTCTTTACGTGGATGTGGCCGCGGTACGTCTTCAGGGCGACAACCTCAGGCCATCACATGCTCCACTCATCAATCTTCAGAAGTGGCACGATGGTTAGCATACTCAACAGACACAGTCGACCACACTGACCTACGCTCTATCCAAGCAATCTCTGCCATCCAGAAGACACTTCCGGCAAGCTTGACACACTCCCTCTGCGCGTTGGCAAAGTGCTGACTAGGACCTTGGATTCTCTCGAATAGGCTGCAGCAGGAGTCTGAACTGCAAGTCTGTGTTTCTATCATGCAGTGACAGCAATGACTAAAGCTAAGCCCAGTGTATATGTACTTCTTTTGCAGTTCGTGGTGCCATGCAGGACCCCAGCAGGAGAGTTTCAGCTCAAGTCGCAAGCTGTCAAGCAGCGGCCCTTGTGCAGGTAATTGTCTTCGCTTGAGCAGCTCTGGCAATCCGATTCCTTGGAATTGGGCTCAGCGCATGCAGCTTATAGTTGATGCTAATATGTAACTGCTTTCAAGATTAGGTTGCCCCTGGAGAGTTTTACTCGTTCCCATGAGAAGACCACGCAAACCGGATCGCATAGTTTGAGAAGTAAAGATTGTGGATCACGATCGCGCATCTCGACTGCAAGCAAGATGCTTCCCTGCCCGAACCTGAGCAAGGTTTCATGTGGAGAGCTTGTCAGAACAGTGGTGCTGTCGGCCCACAGTAGATATACTGGTATTATAACGAGATTAGGGTCATAACTTCACGAAACTACCATGCGAGAATGACTAGAGGTTTTGGAGCATGTTGGGTCCTGAAGAAAAATACAAACTGGACTCCTTTGGGGGATTTAAAGCTGACGCTTGTCAGGATGATGCCTCAGGCTTTGCTCTTTTCCATTCGACAAAGCATTCTCGACTCAGATCCGCACAGGTAGCGCAGCTCCCGTGGCCTTGCATTGTGCAAGGAACATGCATCATTCCTGAATCCCGGCAGAGGGTGGTATTTAAGACCTAGCGCGGGACCGGGAGTGGGTACCCATGATGACCGCTACGTAAACCGATATATGCGACGTTTATATTACCAAAATTCACACCCCCACGGGCCCTTCAGAACCAGTGCCAGCCGCAGTGAGGAGTTTGCATGACCACATGCTTTCAGGCGACACTCACTGCAGGACTTCGTGTCGGAGTCCCCATATGTGCCATCAGGACAGACTTCGAAGCATTTTCTCTCGTACCTTACAGCACAGAGCATCATAAAGCAACGCACGCAATCATTTTTGGCATGAGACTTATTCATCATAGCCATAGCGCTCTACTGATACTACGAATGCTTAAGATCGCGAGGACCGTCATATCTCTAACTGCGGTGCTCTCAAACATGTCTGCTATTCAGGTGCAGAAAACGTCGAGCTTTGCAGCTGAGACAATCCTCCTGCCAAAGCACGGTGCGAGTCTTTGATCTTACAAAAGCATCAAGAAGTCGAGTGATCGATTTAGGCTTGGAGGCAGCTGCCTGGCCATCTTACCTGCGTTGACTCAAATGACACGTCCAGAAACAGCTGGGGTTAGGCTGCACAACCCCCTCAGTACCTGCAGGAACGGTCCAAATGCATCCCTGAGTGGCGTTGCCCCGCAACCACACATCCGAATCCCCGTCCCAGAATCTCCCAGACACCTGCCTACCAATGCCTGCTGTCCACGGAACAACCTTCAGCCTCCCAAGATTCCGTCTAGAGTCTGAAGGAAACGCGATCTCAGTGACGAGGCTCAAGTTTTTACTGAGCCCAGGATTCCCCGTTACCTCCCGTAAACCCGAAACGCCCAAGCCCTAACATGCGTCCTCCGAAGCGCCATTGCAGCGACCACAGCTGATGTGGCACGTGATGGGGGCCTCAGTGGCTTGGCTGTCTCCTTCAAGTGTTTAAATTAGAACAAATATACTGTTTAGTTCTTGCCATTTTCTTCTCCATTGTCCAGCTATGATCCCAATCTGGTTATTGTAGAGCTGCATTCCGTCAGCCAAGTCTTGCAAGCACGAAGTTGTTTCTGCTTGGGATCTTCATAACATTTATACTGGGCTGAGAAGGGGGTGCTCGACATGCACGATCCCTACTGAAGGATGATGGCTTGGGCAAGTGTGGACAAGTTTCTCAAATTTGGCGTTGCCTGCTGATGCCAGCCTCCGAGCACATTCGCATACATTCGCTTTTGATATCTCTTGTCTCTTGATACACGCCCTAATGCTAGCAAATTAGTCTGTAATTCTGAGCGAACCCTCAAGAAAAGAATGAGAAAGCGCAGGTAGACTTTCTTGCTCCGTATATGCCTTGGGCAGCTGAGCTAAGGTGAAACACGTTGGTGCGATCTTGGACCGACACCGCACTAACACATCGTGCTCCGTGTCGCAAGGGCTGAGGCCATGTTCTCGAAAAATGATTACAGATGAACGACATCATGTGCAAATGGGGCACACTATGGGAACTAAACATGAAGACCCACAAGGCTCAGCATGAGCCTAGATATGGGGTCACATACTTTGCTTACACAAAGATGTCCCCACATGGAGCTCGAGAAATAGCGCTTTGAACTGGAACCGATGGAGTGTGATGGACACTGCTCACAGACCTGCGCCGGGACGCAGTACGCAGATTCGTATACACTACCTGAGGTGCGATCAGCCAAAGCCTGTGAATGCCCCCTTGCCAGACAGTTCTCGGGTCATGCCTTTGGCAAATCCCAAGCTGCAAAGCATGGCTCGAAACCTCTTACTGGAGCTCTGAAAAGAACCACCTCTACAGAAGCAGGCGACACTAATCCTATCACATTAAAGGCTACATGCAGCTGGCTGCCCATCACTTACACAGACGGAGACAGGCCTCCATGTTCGTGGCCTGGAAACAGAGCACAAAAGGCGACAGAGGCGGGCGTAGCACGCGACCAAGGGATACCAGGGTAATGGTGGCCGTCACCGGAACAAAGAGTAGATATCCCAGTAGCTGCAAAAAGTGCAGTACTGCTAGCACTTGAAGTATCTTCCCTGACAAGATCGACTGCTGAACCATCCTGAACGGTCTGGATTCTCACTGACCGATGTAACCTGAAGTATGATACCTCATGTGTCAGGCTGCCTTCATGTTGCTGTAGGTCTTTGTGACCGTGGACTCGGCAATTCCATGCCTCAGCTCTGCGAATGCAGTGCTATCTCCTCTGTCTGGTAAGGGGGACATGTCTTAAACTAAAGCACTTTATGGAGATGGGCTCCAAATATTGGGATGATCTTCATTGTCATGATACCCGGCTAAACGACCCATGCCTTTGAGTACGTACCTCTCATGGAGCCCGCAGCAGTATATTTGAACAGCGAGACACGCTGGATGCCGCAAAAGAGAGCGGCCGTGGTCTGTCTCAGCATGCCATCCAATGGATGTGGACGCCACCTCTCAGGAGCCAACAATCCAGTCCATCATATGCCCTTCTTCAGCTGTATAATATATTGCTCTCAAATGCAGCTCCTGCCTTCATCCACTTGTACTTATCGCACGGAGCAAGGCTAGACCGGGTATGCTTCCGTCGCACTCTGTTGATGGTGTCATTGGAGCTGAACTCCTTGGCAGCTGCATGTTCGTTGAGATAGAAAGTCTGCGCAGTAAAAATGGAAGGCCCAAAAGCTGCTGGAAACCGTTAACATCTGCATCAGTTTTGCTTCCAAGGCGCTGCTGCGGTCGGCCCTGCTGCCTGTGAGGTATGCAGCATTCAAAAAGATGGCAACTGCACCTCAAATGCAAGCATGCTCCGACACTGCTTGCCTCGCAGTGGGACTGGTACGACTCTGACGTGGAGTTTTGCAGCACGAAATTGCCTGACCCACGCTGTCTGCAGAACTGCTTCAAAAATCAAGCATGCAAACATCTTGTTGATCATCACAAAATGCAGGAATGTTCTCAAACGTGACTTTCTGCAAACGTATGCCGCTCTAATATGGTTGCTCACGTGACTTTTCCTTCTTCTTCCTCTTCTGCTTGACGGCGCCTCTTTTGCTTTTGGAATGTACTACCTGGTCATGCCGGCTGTGAACCTGACCGTGTAGGTGACAAGTTGCAGTTGGACCTGTAGGCAATTGGCTTGAGGCATGGACGGGCTGCGTGCGGTCCGGAATTTGAAAGGAAGCCACCCTCTCACTCTGCTTCTTTTCTCTTGATATGACTTGGATTTACAGGCCAGCCTTCGTGACTTGAGTAGCCCCCCTGAACGGGCTCTCACCATTCTGGGTGTTCTTGACAGTATGCCAGGACTCTATAGTAATCTAGATGCATACTTCAGTTATCCAGAAAATGTGGTTATACAATTTCCACTATACATCTTAGCCTCGTCCTTTGGACCAAGTTTCCAGGACAACAAAGACTTGGGTTGTTCTGAAATGCATGGGCCCTTTTGGGTTCTAGAATATGTTACAGCACCTAGTATGAGGGGGTACCAAGTTTTGGGACCCAAACCCTGCACCCTAAGCCCTAAAACCCAATTTTGGTTGGCCATGCGCTGATTGCAAGGCTGGTGGCCGAGCTTCCGCCGCTTCCACACCTGAGCGGGCTCATACTCGATAAGCAATAGTAATAATAGTAGTAAGACTAGATAGCAATAATCTTACATAATAATAGTCATGATTATAATGGAGTCGAGGAGCTTGGGATTAGGACTCGGAGTTTCGGAGGTTAGGGCTTCGCGCTTTCGTGCAAATGATAAAGCTTTTCTTGGTGCAGTGTTTCTAGCGCTCATTCTCTGCTCTGGGTTAGCACGATCGAATCCCGATTTTGGAAACTACCCACATGTGTGGCTATATTCTGGCACAAGTGGCAGACTTCTACAAATCAAGAACCGTCGCAAAACAAGTGCAGCTGGCTTCTTAGATTTGACGGAATTTTGGCATTGAACGCCAACTTTTGCAATAGGCCTTTTCAGTCAGCTGCCCTCATCAGAAAGTCGTGGGGCATAGGAAAGGGGCCTGGAGCTACAGCATGGTTGTATTCAGGACCCGCCCTCACATCGACCAATTATATGCAACAGACAGGTTTCTCAGAATCTTCTCTGCTCCTCTGAAAACTGTTGGCAGGCAACTTGAGGCTCAAGCCCAAAGATCTGTACACGTTTTTTTAGTTTCATCCCTTCAAGCCACTAAGGAGAACCCGCATGATTCTAGCTTCATTTAGTCAGAATCCGGGCTTGAAGGGCAATTTCCCAAGTGCTGCATTGTGGCAGATGCATAGCTAGGAGGTCAGAAGCCCAATGCAGCCAAGCAGCCTCTTTCATGCTCACACTTTCCATTTGGCAACCATTCCTGCCCAGGGAATAAAACCGTGACAAAAGCGTTGATATTGTTCAGGAGAAGCTCCAGCTGCAGAAAACTTTGTCAGAAACCGCGGTCCTGACTTCGCTGAGAGGGTGCATGCTCATCAGACGGGAATGATGCGGCGCTCCCACATAAGGTAAGAGCTTGCTGAGGTATTCGGCGTCCTGATTGCACATCGCTGCTGCCAGTTCGTTCAATTCCCTACCAGCAATGAGAAAGCAACACTTACAAGGGCTCAAGGCAAGTTGAGCAGTGCGATCACTTTCTGAAGCCCACACGATGGCAGGAGAGCAGTTCCCAAGCTACAGTATGCCGAATGGATTGAAGGGTAGCGCAGAAAGAGCGCCTACTGTAGTTGACGAAGCTTGGCCTGCAAAGAAACTCTTTTGTCGAGGATCGGTGGCTGCAGCTGGCCGTCCGGACAAGAAAGTGTCCATGCCTTTGCTCAGGAAACCAGGGCTTTTCATGATGAGAAGCCGAAAGCAAAGGTGGATATTCGCATTCAACTGCTCACGAGCTTGATGACGGCCAACGCAAGCATGATGGACAGGAGACTAGCATTAGCCATATTGATCAGAACATGAAAAACTATCACCGTTATGATTGATTTAGAATCGGTTCTATGCCATTGTGACATTTTGTCACAGTGCTGGTAGAAACAGCGATGCAGAGAAGCACAAACCCCGGCAAACTGGATCTAAAGAGGCAGAGAGTGTTGTGTCTTGTGCGCTGCCGAAAACCCAGCCATCATTTTTCGGAGCACTGACCCTCAGAAATCGGAAACTCACTATAACAATGACACCGCCTGAAAGAATGAAATGCTTAGTTTCTAACCCCACCTTTACAGCCGCGCCTCCAGGGGCGGACTCCGAGCGCTGCATGGCCACCCCCCACCTTGTGCACATCTGGTTTACGACTGCAAATCCTGATAGGGATGCGCAGCATAGTTCTACGGGCAATGACTGGAATGCTACTTCTGCTGCTACTTAATTCTGCTTCTTTTCCTTCTGCTGCTCCAGCTGTTGTTAACCGTATGAGCACGCAAAATTAAAAAGTAGGAAGAGATAAGCTAACTCCCAATTCGTGATCCTGTGTGAAAATTGTCCTCACACAGCCCAGAAACCTCCGCGTGGGGTCCCCGCGAGCAGGTCGCGCACCCCAGCAGCCAAGGTTGGGTGGAAGCCGCTCTCTGAGCCAAACAGCTACGAAAATGTTACAGTATTGCTAATGCCTGGAGATCCTACGATATCTTGCATGCACATACAGAGAAACGGTAGGAGCAACCGCCGCCAACCATGGGGTGCCTACTACTGCTCCTACCTTGCTCCTAGTACCACCGCACAAACAGATCCACAAGAAGATTGAAAGAGTGCTTGCGCAGAAACTGACTTGACCAAATCTTGGCCATCCCACATAATCTGCGATTTCCCGTTTTAAAGGGGGCTGTGTGATCCACAAGCATTGTACGCCTTCTTGAGGCCCTGGCTTGTGACGTGGTTTCCTGCGCAGGTAGATCTCTGCATTGGGGTAATTGCCAACACCAAGGTCTCATCCTAGCACCTTGTCCTGCAAGGTAGGCCACTGTAACAGATATTCTTGGGATAATGGAAAAGAACATGGGAACTACTATAGTATATTGGGGTGATAATGGAACAGAAAATGGCAAATTTTATTTAGGTCCAAATAAAACTGATGTTCGGCCACTAATTCTCAACCAACCAAACTGCCTTTCCATGCACTCCATGATGGCCTCACACGCCACCTTGCTGTTGGGGAAGTCATTTGCGCTCAACTCCTGATCGCGATTTCTGAAGTGCCTGTTGCAGTAACATGGTTCGTGGTAGGGCACTTTTCAGAGAATGGCACCAACAACGGGTCTTCACAAAAAGGATCATGCCAGTGGAAAGCCCACGCTACATAGGTGTTCCTGACATCATGGAGGAATAGGGGCAAGATAGGGGTTGCATATTGGCATGTAGAGTTCAGGGTTAGGTAGAGATGCTGCAGAAGACAAATCCCAGGAAAATGCAACTAGTCACAGGTGAGCATATGAGCAGGTTTGGGGAGATTACGGGGCAGGGAAAAATGCACCTGAAACTGCAATCCATCTCAGCAGGATCTTTGGGTAAAGCCCAGCAAGACAAGACTGTGTTCAGCAATTCGCCAATCTTCCTACCTGTTCGGGCTCACTAGCCTTATGAAACATGCCACTCACTGGCCTTTCACCTTCAACTCAGTGAGACCGACTTTCTGCATGAGGCCGTGGCGGCGTAGTAGAGCCTCACGTTCGTTACCTTTCAAGGGAAGAGCGCGCATGCCAAAGTCCTGCCCTTACGGAGGGCGCCCGCATTCACGACGTAGGATTTCTCTGAAGATTGGCTCGCTGATTCTGGGATGTAGATGGAAGACATGAGGGATGGAAAGGGGCAGTTTATCGGCACATGGCGTTGGCAAATAATAATTTCGCCTAAATAGTGGCCGATGTAGCTGGCTTGATTTGTTGCACCTCATTTGCNNCCCCCCCCCCCCCCCACATTCCCGTACAACATCCCTAGAATGATTCCCAGACAAATCCCTGCATGCCCTATAAGACCATCTCCCCGTTCCACACGTTTTGGAATACTTCGGCCCTGCACGCACCCCTGTTAGCCACACACTTTGCTTGATCCAGCACACCGAATCCCAGACACCCAAGGCCTATACCCTGAATCCAAAACACTAAGACCCAAAACCCATATGCGAGACCCCAAGCTGTAATCCTATATGAGCTATAGTTCAAGACCCAGTATCCCCTAAATGAATCCTATAATAGTCCCCTATATAATCCCCTATGTAACCCCTCTCTGAGGAGTTTAGACCGTAGCTCAAAAGACCTGAATCACAAACCTCAGATCTGACAGACGAAGGTGGATCCCGCCTCTCCCTTCAAGGCCCACTTTCCGTTGTTGGGATCAGCCTGTTGGAAGCAACGGTTTCTCAAGAAGGTCTACACCACTCCTGCTGGAGTTGGCAGTTTAGGGGGCCTAATCTCGACAACTGCCCAAGAATGCATTAGCGAAAGGATTGATATCTGGAGATGGTAGCACATAGAGCGGCAAAGGGTGGGTGGGAATGGAACATTCACGTAATTACAGGCACTGAACATGACTCAAGAAGAACCTTCAACAGCCTGCTCACCCTACAGTTAACCCCTGAATCCTTAAGAACAGGCTTCCTGGTGCTTAAGCAGCGAAGTCTATATCCCAAAAGTACCAAGCGTGCCGTTACAGGTGTGTCTGGGGTCTGCAGAGACGCGGAAACACTGCTACACAAAAATGAAACATAGGTCCCCACGAAGCACAAACGATCGCAACATTTGAATTGGTATAAGGCAAGAATAGTCCTTCCTCAGTACCCTACCCCCAAACTAAACTGGAAGCCCATACAGGCCCCTCTCAGAAAAGGCGTCATCTACATAGGGCACCTCTGGTGGATTCAATTAAGGGCCACCTTAAGGACGATCATACAACTGGTGAAAGATGCAGATTTGGGGTTGGTTAGGGATGCCGATCATTCTTGCTATGGTGGGGTAGAATCCTAAGCCTGGTGCTGAAAAAACCTTGAGCCCTGAACCCGGAGCTGCCAATCCCTAACCATGCCTTGTTGTAGGACTGCGTGTTCTTGACTTGCCTCAGGTCTTTGCAGTTTAGACCATTCTTTGGTTCCTTGAGCTGAGACCCTTTTGATTGAGAGTTCAGGTTGGATTTAGGGCCAAAATGCACCCATGTTCGGAAGACTCGCTAAATACACGCACTGAGACCGCATTGCAAAACCCCTGTGCCATGTATGGATAAGCCCCACAGCACAATCCTGCTAGCTCGTCTCGTAAACCGCAATTTCAAGGACCACAGGCTCGCTAGCGGTACACCTCGGGGCCCTGGTGCGGGTGCCTGCGCGTGGTCTGAACAGAAGCTGAATGCCTCCAGGGGTCTTTCGCAAGTATTCATTGGCCGTGGAAGCCTTGCCACTGATGGCATTTGGCTTACCTGGGATGCCAGCGTGACATCATCGCAAACGGTCTCTAAGCCGTCATTATTATACCCCTCCTCATTGCTTTGGTGGACCATCATGCAGGCACATCCAATTGTGATGTCATCTACCGGCCGCCCAGGCACCAGCCGGAAGCGCTGCATTTTGGAAGTTGTTGCCTGAATACTCGCGCTGCATGAAGCAGAAGTGCAACAGGCAGGCTCCAAACACAATAAGCGTAGGTGCACTGCAGTAGTCTCTATATATCACCGCCTTGTTCTACTGATAGACGGCAAACAGGCTCTTTTCTTCATCACTTTGTCCAATTGGCATCTTCTAAGTCTGGCACGTTGTGCTTGCTTGCTGATGAAGACATCAGGTTGTCCATCAATCCTTGGGCTTCTTGGTCACAGGCAGGACGCGTGCGCAGAATTCGGATTTCTAGGGCCTTATGTTGCAGAAAAGGATCCACAGAGTGATCCGTGATTCCCCGCGAACAATGACCACCTAGTGAGGGTGCTGCAAGTGTTGAGCGAGGCTGCATGCAGGCGCAAGGAATGCATGCGCAGTGAGCTGACTAAAATGCCACGGGACTTCTGATGCATCCATGGTATCAAGCAACCCTGGGCACGACTCCTGGCCTCGTGGTACTCTTCATCATTTAGCTTGGTGTCCTTTGAAGCAGCTGGCGCGCAAGTAAAGGCGTCATACAGCTTGCACGATGATAAGGACTCCGAAATATTCCAAATCTATGCTTGTGCAAGAACGTCCAGACGTCTGGACTTAGCAGCCAAAGTGCAGAGGTGAAAAGGTTCACAGTGCCAGCAGCTCCATCTGCGCTGTACTCCTCCTCAGATGGGAGGAACCAGAAGAAGCTATCCCTGTAATTCAATAATTGCGACATGTCCGGAAATTGATCGCTCTGCGAGCCGAGTATCGTAAGTCAGCACGTTGCCCATACGCATCAGTGCCTTGCGTAGCAGCAAGCTCTTGACTGCTGCACACACCTTTAATTACAGAATATGCTGTCACAATCAAGCTGCAATGCGCGGCGGCTGGCCGTCAATTCCCTGATAGAACCTGACAGGAACGAAGGGCAATGATATTGTTCCCCCGTATGAGGGCTTTGCATGATCCATGCACATAGGCATAAACACATAATTATGCCATGCGCGTTTGGCCGAGGATTTGTTGCCTATGTTTCACTTCCACATGCACTGCAGATATGCATATATATCTATATAGTGTTGCATGGTTTCGGTAAAGGGAGAGGGTGAAAACATGTGAAAACGCTCTTCTTTTCTCTTTTACAGCAGAAAAACGTGGGGTGTGGGGGGGGGGTAGGCCGGTATTCCGACTGCGTTTCATGGAGGTCCCGACCTCCGAGGCAGCCGTCTCAGCCGACTCCCACCCCTTCGCCAGGCTCCCCCCAGGAGGTTTTTCAAAAATCCCGAGCATGCTCCTCAGAACCCACCCTAAGCCGGGTCCCAAAACCCCTAGGTGGAGCATGGTGATCAGCTTCTTGCGCCGATTGATTTCTTACGTAGCAACTGAGAACAGCAAAGCTGCTGACTCCCGGCAACCTAGCTTGGACTAATCTTGTTGCGCCTTTTGGTCTCGTGGCAGCCGCTGAAAACCCTCAAGGTTTAGGGTTTAGGCTTTCGCGATTTCTCCGCCTATGGGTCGGCAGACTGAGCCGAAGGCTCTTAAGTCCGGCCCGGCCGTCGTGGTCCAGTGCGGATGCACGCCTAGCTAAGCTATGTTTATACGGGGTGACGCATGCCGCCGACCCCGTCCCTTTGAAGCCCTGGAGGCGTGTTTTAGGGGGTCAGAAATTAAGCTGATTTTTGGACGTGTTTTTGAGATTTCTCCCCACGCTACGGAGTGTTTTGGGCATGTTTTTTAAGGCGAGCATCAGCACAATTGGGCCTTCGTTGCTCACTTTTGGCCACCTCAACATACCTAGAGTTTTGGAGGGGTCTTGAAGCGTCACATGTATGGTGTCAAGAAGGAAATTGGGGGCCCAAACAGGCCCCATGATGCTCATGATGCTGGCTCTTGGGGGGCTGCAGGGCGCTTAAAATGCGCTATAAACCCCAACAAAACGCTCAAAATACACACTGTGGGCAGTGCTTGTGGCTGTAAATACCAGTGTTGGTAGGATCTGCACTGCAGGACAAGCATGAGACAGGTTTGGCGTGCATTGACCAGGCCAAACCGTATAAAATGCGCATGTTGCATGGTTTTTGGGGTGTGTCGTGCCCATATTTCCAGAACTTTTGCGGCTCCTAAGCTTGTCCAATGCGTGAAATGTGGCTGCTATTGGCAGCTGATTTGCTCAAACATGCATTTGCGGGCTAGAACGCGGTCCGCTTGCACAGAGAGCCATGTCTTAAGTCATCTTTGATGGCTTTCCTTGGGTTTTTGACGCCTCCTTGTCCCAATCAAGCCAAAATGGGGCCCAATTGTGCAGCTGATGTTCGCGCCTCGTACAGGAACATCATCAGCACAATTGGGACCCCATTTTGGGCCGCTTCCAGTTAAACTAGAGAGAACAGGGTCTGCAAAACCTAATTACCTCCCAGGTAACAAGAACATAACTTTTTCGTGCACTTCTCTCAATCAGGAGTATCAGCAGGGCTGTGGTGGGCTTGGCTTTCACTTGATAGCTGGGTGGGCAAGGAGGGCAACGGCCAGGCCGGCACCTGCCGCCAGGGACTAAGTATCTATCTATATATATGTATATAATGTACATGTAGATGCGTACATATGCAGCCGTCTCTCAGCCTGCTGAACGAACCCCTGCAGCTGCTACATGTTCCCGGACATAGTCGACAGATGGTTCAACCAAGTCAACTTCCAACTCCACCAATCAGTCAAGAACATCAGCCACGTCCAACAAAGGTCAAGTTGCTGCTTTTTGTTGGTACTTGGTGTTGTGTCCTGGCAGTTGCATGCATGGGGCTCTGAAGAAGTTTCTGACGCACGTGGGCGCTATCTCTGATTGAGGTCGTGCAAGCGCCAGTTCGTGCAACTCCTAACTCAATTGGCAATCTACTGCGCCATCAAATATTCGAAGTGCCTAGCAAGCAACCGCCAGTGCGTGCAGGCTGTGTTGCAAGTTTATCCCGCGGTCCGGATCAATGGTCCAGCAGATGACGCAAGCCTCAGACAGATTGGAGGGGCTAGTAGATTAGGCAGCCGCTGAACTTCCCAGGCACGGATACTGCAAAGTCTCTGTCAAATATGCACCTACAAAGCTTGCCAAAGAGCGACATGTAGCAGTAGCAACTTCGACCCCAACCATCAACCTAAAGCCCAAACTTCAACCCTAGCCCCCCAAACCCCCTGAGCCTGAACCCCCAAGCCCAAAAACCCTAAACCCTCATAAACTTAATTATCCTGTGTTGCTAGGAGCTGGGTTCGGCTGCAAATCTGGTGGGTCGTCCCCAGTCCACCGCATTCGCAGGGACAGCGTGAAGGGGACCTGTTCGGATGTTTGTCATTGACATGTATCGGTGCCTGTCAAGGAGTTACAGGGGCTCTACGGGTATGCACTGGGGTATGCTACGTAGGTTCTAGGCCTTTCAAAACTGGGGTCCCCTTGGCGTCCCATTGCTATGTGAATTGGGGGTTAAAGAGTCGGACCACATCGCGTCCAGCATGCCAGCAACGTTGGACTCTTGCTACAGGAACAGCAGGCTGACATTGGTGTACCTATAATAGCCCTTAGAGAATGCTCAGCCGCTGGCAGCCAGTGGGGGACGCCCCCTCCCTAAACATCCTGAAGGCCTCCTTTTGTCAATCCTCACCTCACGTTGCTAGATACCAGGAAAAGCAGGCCTGAGTTGGAGCTTCGATCTCGAAGGTGCGGGGACCTCAATCTGACCATACAATGAGAAAACAAGTCCCTCCTTCTTCTTATTCTTTGCAGGTTATTTGCCTCCTGGGAAAGTTGTACAGAATCCCTGCACGCTAAAGCCCTTCGCCCAACCCTAAACCACTACATTTCAAATCCAAAGCCGCAAACCCTAGACCCTAAACCCAAATCTTAAACCGGTCTAGACTAGCCGTGGCATGGAGCTACCATCGACAAGCTGTATGTTCGTTCTTCACCAGCTATGGGGCGTTAAACAGGAAGGGGAGAACGGAAACTGCTATTTACGGCTTAGGAATAAATGCCCCAGCAATACTGGAGAATCAATCTGAAACCATGCAACATGAAAAGCAAACCGTGATTATACGCAGGTTTATAGGGACCAGGGTTTTCCAAAATTAGGGTCTCATTTTGAAGATCTAAATGATCAGGCCCCTGTTTGGGAAGCTACCGTATAATTTCAGTATTGCACTTTGGGTTTTTAAGGCATACTAACCTTGTGATCAAAAGCTTGATACTAAGCAGATGCCCTGATCTGAGGACAACTTGCAGTCCGGCATACATGACACATGGCATTGATGAACCGCCAGGTACTGCAAGTCTCTACAAGTTCCCAACGTTGAGGCACAACTTTGTGAAACTACCTGATAATGCAGGAGCCTACACACCACGGCAGCCGTCATGCCAGCTGAGGCGCTGCGATACGCTGTGTCACCGCCGCTGTCACAAGCTGCAGGTGCCTGCCGCATGAACACTTTGATGGATTTCGATACCATAAAGCTGTTGGATGTCTCTGTCCAAGCATTTGGCCAAGCCCTAAGCCTAAGCCATCGCTTGCACTATTGCCAAGCAAGCTGTATTCCCCTGGGTTGATAAGCAAAGCGATTGTGCAATCCGGGAGCATTCCTTGTCATCCTCCTCAGCCGCTTCCTGGAAGTCTCAACAAATGATTATAGCATATTAAAACGATTGATGATGCTGCTTGCACCATATCGCTCCCTGCTGCTGCTGCTGCTGCTGCTACGACTGCTGTTGCTGGTGCTGCTGTTGCCGCTGTTGCGGCGACTGCTACAGTGCTACATGCCTCCTTCTGCTCTTTCTGCTGCTACTTCTACGCCTAAGATGACGACTACTGCTGCTACGGCGATGTCGACTATGGTGGAAACGACCCCGACCCCCGACCTTGACTCCAATAAGTATTATGATGACTACCGTTATGGCTGCTTCTTTTGCAAACCTCATTCCTGCTTGTTTCCTGTTGCTCTTGAATCGCAACACCGATGATCT